CAAGGCTGGGAATAGGAAGATGAAGGTTTATAAGGGGAGGTGTGAAGGGAGCAAGGCTGGGAACAGGAAGATGAAGGTTTCATTGCTTGACTGTGGTATATATGTCTTCCTTAGAGGGATGAGAGAATGAGGTGTTTTGTGTTTCCTTTCCTTTTATACACACAAAATCACCAAAATGAAAGGACAATTAAATTGAAAAAAAAAATGAGATATGTTTAGTATGTTTCCCAAAATTCAAAATTGGGCCCCAAAGTTTGATGGTGGTTTGAATTTCCTGTCTGGGAAAATTGTGAAAATTTAGTATTTGTAATTTTCGTGCACATACTATTCACGTTCTGTGCACAGTACATGCAAGTTTTCCATGCATGTACCATACACGCAGTATGCACATAGTATAGACATTGTGTGCACAATGTATGCACATGATATGTACAAGTTGTCTAGGCAGAATTTCATATAATTTCTTTAGTTCTTTAGTTTTTGTCAAAATTTTCTTTAGTTCTTTTAAAGATAATTGAAAGCATGGTACACTAAATGGCAAAAAATAAAAGTGGAAATAGTCGTTAATCCCATTTCATTACAGTGAGTGGCAATCCATATTACATCAAAGTGATCAAAAGTATTATCTTGATGCGTCAATGTCCCAATTTAACAAGAAGGACAATGGTGCAGCAAGTTGAGAAGGTCTCTGTAAGTTTCAACTTTGGAAGACTACATAAAAAAGGGACCTTTACAGTCTATAAAAAAGGATGGCCAATGCCACACCTAGAACAAACACCTACGAAGGAAGGTGCATTTTTCGGTCACGTCGACATCAAGCCCCTTGCCACCGCTGTGAAGATTGGTGTACACCCAGAACAACTCAACTTCACCCTTCATCTCTAGCTCCTTGGAGACCTTGAACTACTAACATTATCCTCATATAAACAGTGTTTCAATTTGTGTTTCAGGAGTCTGACCTTCTAGCGGTTCTTCCAAGCTCTAAGTCTATGGTCGTCCTTGATAGACTTCAACGGCTCAATTCTTGCCATACGTACCTCTTTTTCCTTTTCAATGTCGGCGATCAAAGTCTTGAAAATGCCGCATGTTTCCTAGTCACGAGGTTTGCCGCATTAAAATTGAAGTTGCTAGTGATTTCGTTCTCGCGGTCGAATTCCCCGGTCGATGTCGTATAATCAAACATTATTGAACATTGCAGGCTTGGAGGCTGATTATGTGATGAAGTTTGCAATGTGTTAGTGTTAGTATGTGTGTGTATGTGTGTATGTGTGCGCACATGTGTGGAGTTAGTAATGTGAAATGTTGTGGTATTGGCGCCAAGAAATTGTTCTGGTTCCCTAGAGAAAGGATGGATACATGGTGCCAAAAAATACCTTGGTGGGAGACTTTCCACAATTTTTTAACAAAAAATGTGATAAAGAGCAATGTATTGTACGCCTTGGGATTCTCCTCAAGAATTGGCACCAAAAGGAGTGATACTTACCCCATTATTTTAAGGTTTCTTTTATTGGAAAAGGCACCATGCTTATAGTTGTGTAAATCCCAATCTAAAAACTGGAAATTGGTTAGCAAAATTGGGCTTTGATGGTTTGTTTGTAAATGTATTAGTTGGCATCATAACCTTAATGCTAAGACATGGTAAATGAGTTGTACATGTGTTGTACATGACCTCACCTTTACGTCTTGTCTTAACCTACTTGAGGTGTGCATACCATGTAAATGTGCAAGATGTTCTTTCTTCTCATGTCAACTCATAAATGTTTAATAATAATATGTTACAAAAAAAAAAGTTTTAATTAGGGTTTTATTCGGCCACTTAATTTGACCCAATGGGTTTTCATCCAGATCATGGTAGACTTGTATAAATATCCTTTTTTCACACGGACCCTATCCCTATTCAATCTGGGTTATAAACATGACAACTGAATATCTTTCTTATTTGCACAACAAATGCACGACTCAATGCATGCACAATATATGTACAACCCATGCACAAGGAGTTGCTTCTATCATTTAAAAAAAAAACAAACATTTTAATCCAAAAATACCATGACATGCAGAATACATGCACATTACAGGGCACCCTATGCAATGGAAACAATCATGTGGTGTCAGGGATATCAACAAGTTCCGTGCAAGTCCGTTGGTTATGACCAAGCTTCCGACGACACTTGCATTCCCAATAGATTATATGTTCTCCTTGTGACCAGATACGCCGCTTCTTGGGACTCCCAACCAGTACCTTCCTTGTCAAAGGTAAGACTAACGTGCATGCAGCTATAGTTTTGCATTCCATTGCAGAGCGGGGAATACCGAGTATATGGAATCAGAATAGGTTGCCTTTCACACTATACTACTTTAGTAAGTCAAAGCCAACTCATAAAAGTTGCAGCTTGCAAATAAGTAAGCTGCAATGGCATGTTTGTAGGGCAATTGCTCAAGATCGAATTTTCAGCAAGTGCAAGTCTTGTTACGTATATCAACCACGGCTTCACTGTCTGTGTGGTAAACATGAAACTTGGTGTCCCTTACTTTATGGACACACATGTGCCTTGCATTCTGTACCCTTTTTCTTATTTTTTTTTCTCACCAAGACCGGGGCACGTGGTAGTGATCACACGTACTATATCCCGCCTTTGTCAAAACTATTTTTGCAACGCCACCTAATGAAATCGATCAAGTAAAGTATGGGCAGCCCCATTGCCATGCGCAACATCGCATTAATGCTCTCAGTAAAGTTAGTGATCATTACATTGTACCTCTTCCCATTCATTCGAGCCAATAACAACTTCTCCACACCCACATCTTTTAGGTACTTTGCTACCAAGTCTTTGATCTTGACGAAGTGTGTGTCGAACTCGGCACGAGAATAGGATTTCCTTGCCTTGTGGTAGTGGTAGAAAAAGTTGTCCTTCTTTTTTAGGCGAAACTTGGCCTTGATATTCCCTTTCAAGTGATACATGTTAATCTTTTTTGAAAACCTTATTGACCACGTTTGCAATGCTTGCGTTGTAGTCCGAAATTATAACCAAATTCAGTACATCCTCAATCATTCCATTGAGTTACTTGAAAAATCACTCCTAGCAATCATTGTTCTTTATGTAGCCTATGTTGAAAGCCAAAGGGTAGATGTTGCAGTAACAGTTGAACGATCTCGCAACTAAAAGGACACCTTTGTACTTTGAATTCAAGTGAGATGCATCAACCGTAGTAACTATCCGCATCCATGACAAGAAACCCCTGATTGATGCACCAATTGCAAAGACAAAGTACCAAAAACAATGGTCTCCGTCGGTTAGGATGGTTGTCTTGCTGCCCAGATTTAGCCTCTCAAATTTGGCACAATAGGCAGGAAGATTGGCAAATGAGTCCTCAGGTGAACCGCATCTTGATGACAATGCCAATCCTCTAGCCCGAGATGCTGACTATTGTGACCCCGAGATTGGTTTTAACATCGTGCACACCATCTTTGGCGCTGTAAACCATATCGGGATCATTGAACGTTTCCCTCATCATGTGACTTGTGGAGCAAAAAATAATCATAAGGCGACATGTGGATTTTTGGATGAGGAAGACAAAAATACCCTTGAGGTGTATCAGGATTCCTATGCGCAGGTAGTAGGCAATCATCCTCAACCAAGTCAAAAATGCCCAAAAAAGGTAAATAAGTTCAAACTTATCTCATCCATCTTTGCTCCATATTCTCTACAAGAAAATCATTTCAAAACCTCTAAATTATTCCATATAAATGGAGATTAATTGGTTAATTAATGAATTAATTCCTAAATAATTCATTAATCAACCAATTAAATTATCAATTAAGCCCAAAACTTACCCTAAAAGCCGGATATCCCTTCTCCAAAGGGAGCTGACCATTTCCTCCTTTCCACCAAAGTTTTCCTTTTTTGACATTGATTAGCTAATCTATGATTCAATTGATTAGCTAATTATACCATAAATTCCCGAATACATTCCTTTTATAATATTAATTCGCCAATTAATATATTTATTCCTAAACAATATGTTAATTGGTAATTAAATCATCCATTTTACCTCAAAAACTCCCAAAGGGCCGGCCATCCTAGTTGATCTCACCATATTTACCCATTTCATCCCATTGATTAGCTAATTAATTTGGTAATAATCCTATTTTGCCAAATTAATTAGTCAATTAATCACATAACTCCCAAAATCATCATAAATCATGAACAAAACCCACAAACAAGGCTAAGTGGCCGGTCCTCTCTCACCCTAAGAGACCGGCCACTCTTCTATTTAAACCCCTTTCTTTTCTTCAAAATGGGTCTCTGATTCTCTAGCAAAAATTCCAAATACTCTCAAGACACTTTTCTCCCTAAATTCTAACTTTGGCATCGGAGGTTCTTCGGCCAAAGTCCCCCCCCATTCATCGTGGGCACGTGAGGCTTTTGGCCTTGACCCTAAGGTATAATTGTTGTGTAGGTGCAATTTTGTCCGAGACAAAAGAGGCGAAAATTTGCATCCACATGACCAGTAAGCCGCGTGTTGACTTGCGGGTGACGGTCCTTCAACAAAGCCAAATCACATTGTGGGAAACTTCATCTTTGGCAATCTTAAACTCTTCATTACATTTCCGGTATCCGAAAATCCTCCATGGACACCGGATATTCTTACACTTGACAATGAGACACCCCTTCGAAGATGTATTGACCGGGTATTGTAAATTCGTTTTAATCGATTTCAATCGAAACCTTTTCAACAGATCTTGCTCGTCGACAATAAGGTCATCATTGGATTAATCTAGGGCTCATATGAAAAAGGACATCACGTCCTCAAAATAAAGACTTTAAGAGAGCAGTTATGCCTACGGTAGAAGGTTTAACTTGATTATATTAAATGAGTAAAAACTTATAAGGTTTTTAAGAAGGGAATTTCCAAAAAACAAAAACATAAGGGTATTGATAAATTATTAATTAACTCCAAAAAGATAGTTATAGTACACTTTCAAAAACATTACAAAATGTGGAAATCACAAAAATTAAAGGTTTCAAAAACATTACAAAATGTGGAAATCATAAAAACTAATGGTAGCCCTTGATAAGCAAACATACTACAATGACCACAAAGAAAATTAAATTTAAAGGAGAAAAATGAAACTTTGCCCTCAACTCACTTGATCGGAACAATACTTTCCACATAACTAAGAGTCTCGAAATCAATAACCTCATTGATAATAGGAGGAATATGAAGATACTTGAGATTTCCAATACTAGAATTATAAGAGATGGCTCTTCCATCGGAGGCAAGCATAAGAAGCTCGTCACATTTCCAAAGTGTCAATGGATACTCAATGCCTTTAAAGGGTCCAACAGTTAAGAGTTTTGTCCATGAAGTCTTAATTCCATCATAATCGTCCATTACCCATATTTCAAATAATTTAGAATCCTCAGTTGGATCATAATGAGAGCAATAAGAAGTGATGGATTCATTATACAGAAAAAGATCATAAAACTTAAAACTGGATTCTCTCCTAGAAGGCAATTGTATTCTATGAAATATCTCATCACCTAAATCAAATGAAAGTATGTATTCCTCGCCATCGCTTGCAAACCAATAACAAAATCCCTTCAAGTACACCGAACAAGAACTAGGATAGGTTTTAGTTGATATATCAATCTTAATCTCCTTCCAAGAGTTAGCAGCTATGGTGTATACCTCAGCCGTGTGAGGAAGAGGAATACTATGATTAAATGTTCGCTCATCATCTGAATACTCACAATTTTCTATAATTTGCACAACCTTGTATTCTTTAGCTTTGCAATCATAACCAAATCCCAATCCTCCAAAAATCGTCTCCAATTGGAATTTTTCCTTGGGAAGGGGTACAAGAAGGCATGAATCGGGAAGTTGCCTGAATTCCCCGGTTCCAGGATTGCATAAAATAATAACAGTTTTCCCTGCTATTACACAGACAATCCCATTGCAATAACCGTGAATCTGTACAGGATGATGATCTTCTAATGGAAACGGTATGTTTAGGTCCTCAACATCATAGTGATGGTTGTGCTCATCACTATAAATGGAAAGATAAATCATGGACCATAAAATTTCATATTTCCAACTTTTGTCTGGGAAAACCGGCATCTGAGAACGGTTGAGAAGGATACAAGTGGAGGATGAGAGTTTGTTGTCTACGGAATTGCTGAGGTGTTTGGCAACAAAGCTTGAACTAATTATAAGAGTGCACCAAGACTTGCGTGTGCATTTGAATCGCATCAGAGATTTGGATGGCAACCTTGACAGGATTTCGACCACCTTATCTTCAGGAGTTTCGCTTTCACGCACATGGAACATTTCAAAAGTTTTGTTCCACAGGAATTCTTTACACGTATATATACACAGGAATGAGCACCAACAGTTTGAGAGGCAAACTAAATCAAACTCGAGGTTCAATTACTAAACATATTTCCACATTACCAAAATCCAACAGCATTAAATAAAATTGGATTTCCACAACCACAACTTATATAGCTATCAAAGAAAACAAGGAGATCCAGTCAGTTTCGAGTTTTTCGGAGGATCATTCGTTCAAATTTTAGTATTTTAATATTTTTATTGATACAAAATTAACCATTCAAATTTTACCTTTTAACTCTAAACTAGATTACCTAAGAAAGGAAAATTAACACGATATCCGGATATGGGCTAGTATGTAACATCACATGATTTTAATTTAACTAATTCATAGAGTTTTATTAATTAAGCCAATTTTTTCATTAGAAATACAATCACATAACCACTTTTCATCTAAGTTTACCCCAATTTTTATCTACACTCCGTTAAAATTTTAAAATTAAACCTTTCTAAATTCACCACATTTATTCCAAAAATACACACAAAGACCAACACCTTTCCAAAACACCCTAACACAAGGAAAGGGATCCCATCCGAATCCCTTTCCACCTAATCCACCTAGTTCGGGATCCGGGCCGCTCAAATGTGATCCAACAGCTACAGTTATTATCACTTTTAAAGGGACCTTGACTTGAATTTTACAGCTTAATTCTCATTGTATTGCATAACTGAAAATATATACAAGATACAATCCTTGTTCCATAAAGAAACAATAAACAATAAAGAACACAAACATATATCCTTCCTAATAAAGGATTCCTAATATTTACAATATATTTACATACCCTTTTAATTATTACTCACGGCAACACTCCCCCTCAAGTTGGAGCATAAATATCACACATGCCCAACTTGACAAGTGAGTCATCAAAAGACCTGCTACACACGGCATAAGTGAAGATATCTGCAAGTTGCTCTTCCGAGTTCACAAACGGTACTGACACAGTCTTCTTTTCAAGTTTTTCCTTAATGAAATGGCGATCAACCTCCATATGATTTGTTTTGTCATGTTGTACCTGGTTCTCTGCAATCTCCAGTGAAGACTTATTATCATAATACAAATTTATGGCCTCCTTTGGTTTGAAACCTAGACCCTAAAGTAACTTATGCAACCAAAGAACTTCACATACTCTATGTGCCATACCTCTAAATTCGGTCTCAACTAAAGACCTTGACACCATATTTTGTTTCTTGCTCCTCCAAGTGACTAGATTTCCACCAACAAACGTAAAGTATCCAAAAGTAGAGCGCCTATCAATCAGATCACCTGCCCATTCAACATCAGTAAATCCCTCAATCTTCAAGTGACCGGAATTTTTATACAAAATTCATTTCCCCGAAGCCGACTTCAAATAAGCTAAAATTTGCATAACAGCTGTCATATGATCCACACTCAGTGAGTGCATAAACTGACTCACCACACACTGCATAGGCTATATCCGAATGGGTATGAGCTAAATAAATTAGTCTTCCTACCATCCTTTGATATCTGTCTTTATCTACTGGTTCTTGATCCAGATAAATTCCCAAGTAATGTTTCTCTACAATGGGAGTATCCACGAGGTTTACACCGAAGCATACTTGTTTCCTTCAATAAATCTAGAACATATTTTTGTTGAAACAAGAAAATACCTTTGGATGAACGAGCAACTTCAACTCCAAGAAAAAACTTCAATCACCTAAACTCTTCATCTCAAACTCGACATAAAGGTTCTTCTCCAATTAGACAATCTCATCTGAATCATCACCTATTATTATCTTATCATCTACATAAATAATCAAGGTTGTTATTTTACCGTTGCTCCGCTTCACAAATAAAGTATGATGAGAATTACTCTGATAATACCCATTCTTTCTCATGGCCTGAGTGAACCTCCCAAACCATGCACGAGGTGATTGCTTAAGCCCATAAAGTGACTTCCGCAATAGGCATGAAGAAATGCATTTTTTACAACAAACTATTTCAGTGGCCAATTCAAATTTGCAGCTAATGAGATAAGGACTCGTACCATGTTCATCTTAGCCATCAAAGAGAAAGTTTCTTGATAATTAATCTCGTACGTTTGAGTATACCCTTTCACCACCAATCTTCCTTTATACATGTCGCGTGATCAATCAGCCTTGTATTTAACTGTAAAAACCCATCGGCACCCAACTGGTTTTTTTCCTTTCTGCAGCTCAACTACTTCCCATGTATTATTTTTCTGCAATGCCCTCATCTTTTCATCCATTGCTTTGGTCCATTCTCGACTTTTCAAAGCATCTTCTAATCAAGTTGGTACTTGAATTGAATCCATATTATTCACCCAAGCTTGACGTTCGGATGAAATGTTTTTACATGACACATAATTGGCTATTGGATACTTCATTTTTCCTTCCGGAAAGAACCTGTTAGGAGGTACACCACAATTTTGCCTTGGTGGCAATTTATATGTACTTATAACATCATTAGTTACATGAGCATCACTAGTGCTTGCCTCAGAGATATCCAGAGAAGACATATTGGACAGCGGCACTATTAAGCTAGGGAGAGAGGCAGCTTCGACAATAATCTTGGGGCTGCTTGCTTTGGCAAACTCCAGTCTCTCGACTTCAGCAGCAGCTGGCTGACCATCAACACACTCCTCTTCGACAAGACAAATACATGGATTGGCAGACTCTTCTTCGGTAAGCAACAGCTGATCACTTGTAGCAAGTTCGGCATGAATAGACCAAACATCAGCTACATCACTCGGTACTGCACCGAACATCAGAAACATGTTCCATCAACACCTGGAATGGAGTACGAAATTCTACAACCCGGGATGGCATGAGATTTATAACATACATGACATAGGTGATGGAGTCTAGCCAAAAACTCTTGGGCACAGATCCACCAATAAGTAAAGCATGAGTAGTTTCCAAAATATGATGGTTTTTTCTCCCAGCTACCCCATTTTGTTGTGGGGTATAGGAACACGTTGTCTCATGGAGAATTCCTTGATCACGGAAAAAAATAAGATAGCTCATAGTTAACATATTCTCCTTCGTTATCAGAATGAAGAACCTTAATAACAGAAGAATATTGAATAGCCACCATCTGAGAGAAAGACCAAATAGTCGTACTTACATCACTTTTATGTTTTAACACATAAACCCATGTCATATGAGTGCAATCATCAACAAACGTAACAAACCACTTAACTCCTGAAATGGTGTTAACGGGCGAAGGCCCCCAAACATCTGAATGTAAAAGCTCAAACAGAATCAATCTTTTATTCATACTAGGAGAAAACGAAGCACGATGGCTCTTAGCAAGAATGCATACTTCACAATGTAAGTCTAATTCCTTTATTTCATGAAACATACTAGGCAACATACGCCTTAAATAACCAAAAGAAACATGTCTTAACTGACGATGTAACAACCAAACTTCTTGTAGATTACTAGTACGGGATGCTCGAACTACATTAGCTCTGCCAGGAACGACGTCATCCACATAATACAACCCCTCTCTCTTAGTGCCACACCCAATTATCTTCTTGGTCTAAATATCCTAAAGCAAACAAAAATTGGATACATAAGTACAACATAATCCAATTGCTCAGTAACTTGGGGAATAGATAATACATGGTGAGACAATGGCGAAACGAGCAAACAGTGGTGTAAAGCAATAGATGGCATGAGGTCCACTGTGTCGGCCCCAATCGCCACGGCAGCGGTGCCATTTGTTGTGGCAACACATTTTTGATGCATCGTTGTCATATACTTAAATAACCTTTTATCAAACCTCATATGATCAGTTATTCCAGAGTCCAGAATTTAACATATATGGTGTTCAATACCAAAGGCTAAAAGAACACACCCATCAGTACTTGTATTGGACGAGGACTCACTATGATTGGACCAGGGATCACTACTTCTTTTGGCATTGATCTTGTTGGTTGAATTAGTGATAGGAGTATATTTATGCGACATAGTTAGCTTGTTTTCTTGCGTTTTCGTAGTTAGTTTGTGTTTATTATAGTGTTTTAAGCTATTTTCGTGTGTTTGTAGGTCCTAATAACAAAGTTGGCAAGAAAGTGCATTTTGGTGCATTTTTGAGCAGTTTTGGGCACTAAATGGATAGAACAAGTATGGGCCAAGTTGGATGGACGAATTTGGAGTTCAAAAGGCTAGGAATCTGATAAGGAGATGAAGAAATTAAATTCAAGACAAAAAAGATAAGGAATCAGCTCAAAAGAAGGAGATATTATCCAAAACCTTATCCAATCTTATCTTATCCAAACAAACCTTATCTTATCCTATCCTATCCTAATCTTTTCCTAACTTAATTCCTGCTGCAAGGGGGAGTTAATTTCTGATTTAAATCACCTAGAAATCTTTCTAGAAGGCCTTATATGTTCCTACATTGGTGTTGCATGTTTTTAGGCCTTGTTCTTCTAGAAATCAGCCACATAACATTGTTTCTAGAATTCCCTACAAAAGTGGCGCCCCAAACCCTTCTAGAAACCCTAAAATCTGCACAAACCCTAGTTCTTTTTCCCCTTGGATTAAGGCCCAAGCCTTGGCTGAAAATTCTAAGCCTTTTCCCATCAGAATTTTTGAAAACCCTAGCCTATAAATAGATGTTTTCAACCACAAATTCGGACACCACCCTCTACCATCAGATCACTACACCATCCACCTTTTACCACAAATTCGTCCTTAACATCCATCACCCCCAAAACCACCCTCTACCATAATTCACTACATCATTCACCAAACATCCCTCTTGTGCCGTGAGTATTGCAAGGAAGGAAGGAGAATGAGCTACCTAGGAGCCGTGCCTATACCTAAGACGTTGGATTGTTGGAACGTTTCTAGGTGTTTTCTATCTTTGATTTCAATGTTTAATTTAAGTTATCTTTGTTTATTTGCGAACATGAGGAACTAAACCCCTATTAGCTAGGGGGAATTTCGAAACCATGGCTATACTTGCAATATGATTTGATTACATCCAGTAATGATTTCATGAATTGTGAATTCAATTTACTTATCTATTTGAATTAAAACTTGTTTATGTATGTGGGTTGAGAGTGCA